AAATCCGTGTGGCATTTAACTTTCCAGCTTTTTTGTTATTATTATTAATGACAGAAATATGAGTTCACAGAGCATGATAGTTTGTTATTTTTACAGGAATATCTTTCAACAAATTTCTAATCAGCAGGTACAGTCTGCTGGCAATGACCTCTCCTCTGATGAAGACCCTGGAGAGGCTGGTTGCTGACCTACTTTGTCTCCTGGTCAGGTCTCAATCATTACCAACCAGGCCGGCATCACAATGGTTTTTACTCTACAACAGGAAGGATGTGAGATATTCTTCCTGCTTTGCAGTAGCCTTTATTGTATAGACCACATGTGCTTAAGCACCAGCGTGTTAATTTTATAAGAGGTTTCAGCATCAGTTCCACTGTCCTGCAGAATGTAATTGTACACTACAGGTCCTACACTCTAAAAACCTCAACTACAGTTTTGTCATTATAACACATATTTCTAAGTTAACTGAGCATTTTTTTTCTAAAATAGTTTAACTGAATTAAAATGTAAAGTTCACAAATTAGTTGTCCATTTAAACTCAATTTTTCAGTTGAGACAACTTTAGGTAATGAGTGGTGCATCCAGAGAAGCAACTAAGGGCCCCACACATGGTAAACTTTGTTGAAGTATTGGAAATCATGTAATTTATCCATGGGAATACAATGAATACTTACATTTATATCTTTGCATTCGTATATATTTGTGTTTTTATGTGTTTGTAAACATTTTAGTTTAACATGCCAATCTGGTGCCATTAATGTTAAACTGACTGTGTAAAGTAATCTAATAAACATTAATTCATCTAAAAAAAAGTCATGTTTCAAAGATTGGCAGGAATTTGTTTTTAATATATCTTAGTAACATTAACTAAAGTACTTCAAAGTATTTGCAAGATTTTGTAACTTACACTCATACCAATTTTTAACTTCTTACTTTTAAAAAATAAAGCATAAATGTATTTTAATTATAAATGTGTTATTTCTTAGAATTAAACTATGTATAATTTTACTCGTTTTCTTAATGATGTGAATCTGCACCTAAAATAATTATCTTCTCACAAAACGCTCTCAAAACATTTGATTTTTGTATAGCTATTTGTATAATTAATCCCCCTTAATGATTGCTCACATAAATGTATTCCACTGAATTGCATATTTTGTTTGTTTTAACGTTGTTTAATCTATTCGTACTTTGTTACATTATGGTTTTGAAATAAATCAATAAAAAACAACGGAAACAGTTTCGTTTTAGAGAGAAACGAAATGCGATTCAGACGCCCGATCGATAGGTGGCAGACAGTTCGAGAAATTCAAGAATTTAGAGACAGTCGTCATTTCCGGAAGCCGGGTTAGCGCGGGACGGAGCGGAGTTTGGACGAGACGCACACTGGACGCACAGCACCGTTGGTCTGAATGTTCCGCACCGCTGTTTGATCAGGTAAGCCTCTTTATGATGTAAACGTTATTTTGCTGGTTGCCGCTCAAATGCCTTAAGTATTTAAACACATTGGTATATTGACAGAATTGGACTTTCGTACTGGTCGAGGCCAAGCTAGCAAAGGCTAATCCTTGTGTAAGTGAAAGTGTGTGCTTGCTCTGGCATTCTACCATCTAAGTCTACTCTATTTTTTTGACTGGGAAATGCTTTTATTTTATTTATTTAGTCCCCAGCGTCCAACTTCATTGGTATTTATCCTCAAATCTTTCGTTTTATGTCGCCATCTGTCGAGATTAACCATTGTGCGCGCTCATTTTCCCTAGTGGATGGCGCGCGCTCATTTTCCCTAGTGGATGGCGCCACACGTTTTTGTGGAACATGGACATAAAAGTGTCTAGGAGAGCAGTGCTGCGTTTAGTGTTCAAGTGGACATGCCTACACCATACATGAAGACCTAGATTTAGGAATGTTTTCTGTAAGTATATCTATGTTGTAAATTAGGCTATATTCCTCACAAAATAGAGGGAAAACACCAATCTCTTTGTTGCACTTACATTAACAATTTCAACTATAAGTATTAAAAGCTAATGAAACGAAACTTGAATCTTCTTTGAAAATATACTAATTTACAATTTATGTTATACATGAAGCAAACTGTTTCATTCCTTCAGAAGAAGAAGAAAATATCATTTCTATAGCGCCTCTCAAGATAAAAATCACGAGGCGCTTCACTAAAACAAAAAAAAGTAGAAATATAAAAAAGCATTTAGAAAATGTTTAAAAGTATTATAAAATGAGCAAAAATAGGCAATTGGGATTTAAAAGAAAAAATGTTAAGAAAGAGAGAGTGAATAGGAAAGAGGGAAATCAGTGGATCCTGAGGAAGGTGGAATAGGTGGGGAGAGCAGAATAAAGAGGGGTTGAAAAAGGTCATACAAAAGCCAGCTTGAACAAGTGAGTCTTCAGCTGCTTTTTGAAGGAAAAGACCCCTTGTTGACATTTACTCATAAGTTCAGGACATCACATCTCTCAACCTGAAGTCCAGCATATGATTGACCACTTGAGATGAGAGGCCACCAGATACACAAAGCCATAAAAGTATGCATCTGCTGTGACAAATGCGGTATTTATCTGTGCTGTGTTCCACACGGAAACTGTTGAGAGAAAAAAATACCCAGGCAGTTACTTTGCCCACAGTAATACTTTCTATTAATATATATTCAAACATGTTCATAGATGAGATATAGAAGCAGCCATCCAGTTTCAAATGTAGAGGTCATACCGAATTTTTTTTTTTGAGTAAAAGTACATCCTTTTGTACATAGGTTCTAATTATGCCCATTTATTTTGTTGCATTCATTGTAATATACATTAAAAATGCAGATAAAAATGTATTTAAAAAATACCCCCCAACACCCCATTTTAATTATTTATTTATTTTTATTATTCTAAAGCTGAGTAGTAATCATAAATTATTTTGGCTCAGTAGAAGAATGGGTCTGAAGGCGTTAATTTTTGTGTTAGCATTTTAAAATTGTAATTGAAAACTATAAATGTAAAAGCCTAAAAGTTAGGTTTAATTTCTGCTTTGTATATTTTTAGTTTTATAAAGAATAGTGTAATTCATTTGTTGAATTTTACAACCTTTGTTTTAATGATGTGCACAATTTGTACTATGTGGTTTCCTTTCTCTATAGGATTTGGATGCAGTGTAAGGAGTGCAAGTTTTCAACCTCAAGCCAGGAAATTCTTTTAAAACATTACAGAATCCATCATCACCAGGGGCAGTACTGGCCATATCCTTGCCTAGAGACTGAATGCGTCTGCACTTTCAGGACAGTTGGTGCATTGAAATCTCACCTTTCAAGGACCCATAAAAAGACTGGTAAAACTGAGCTTCAAGCCACTTTTCATTGTAATTTATGTGATTTTAAGTGTCTTTGTTCAGTAAGCAAATTCATAGGACATGTCCGGTCTCATTTGAAGCAGTACACAACTGTTGATTGTCCCTTCAAATCTTGTGAATTTAAAAGTAATGTCCTGTCATCCTTCAGCAGTCATATAAGCAGGAAACATAAACCTTACACAGTTGATAACTTTAAACCAACTGTAACATCTCCAACAACACCATGTAATCTACTTGTGGAAGAAGATTTGAATGCAGATATAGATCCTACACCAGTAGGTTCTGAGGAACAGGGTATCACATATGTAGAACCTAGGTACAACGACACTATTGAGAGAAAACTCGCATCATTGTTTCTTTATATGCAAACTGTTTTGCATGTCTCTAAAAGTGCATCTCAAGAAATAATTAGTGAATTCAGTGATATTCTTTCATTCTCAAAACTTACTGCTGAGAAGTCAGTAAGAAACATTTTTAAAAGATTTGAAGGCCTTATTAGTGAGTCTCTTGCACAAGAATTGACTGAGTCAATTTTAGAAACTGTTTATGATAAAAATCATATTCTTCTGGCTACAACAGACAAAGGCTGTCTCTCAACAGATTATCGGAGAAAAAAATACTATAAAGAACATTTTCAGGTTATTGATCCTGTTGAATATCTTTATGATAGAACACATAAAAATGCTTTTGTGTATGTATCATTGCTAAAAAATCTCGAAGTTTTTCTCAACAGGCCTGATATATTAGACAAGCTTGTTTTTGAAGAAGACAGTGTACCAGGGCAGTACAAGTCTTTCTTTGATGGACAATATTACAAACGTAACAAGCTTTTAGGTCTGAATAGTAAATGTATTTCCATTGCGCTCTACATTGATGACTTGGAAGTTTGTAATCCACTTGGGACTTCCAAGAAGATACACAAGATTACAGCTGTGTACTGGCTTCTCTTAAATTTACCTGCCAAGTTTCGTTCAAGTCTTCCTTCAATACAGCTTTCACTATTGGGTAAAAGTACAGATGTGAAGAAGTTTGGATTTGAAAGGTTTTTGGATCCACTGACAAAAGAATTACAAATCTTGGAGCAGGAAGGTGTGTTTGTCAAAGCTCTCAATTCAAATTTGAGAGGTACAGCTTTCTGTGTTTGTGCTGATAATCTTGCAGCACATGGATTAGCAGGATTCCAAGAAAGCTTTCAAGTAGAAAATCTCTGTAGGTTTTGTTTAGCAGGAAAGCTGGACATTCAGACCAAAAGTGGCTGTCACTTTGAATTAAGAACTGTTGAGCAACATAACTCCACTCTAACAGAGTTGAAAGAGACTGGTTGTCAAAGTGTACATGGTGTGAAAAGTGAATGTGTTTTGAGTAAACATCTGTCCTTTTTCCATCCTGTAACTGGGTTCCCACCAGACATTCTGCATGATTTGTTTGAAGGAATTGTGCCATTTGAGTTATGCCTTTGTCTAAAAGACTTGATTTCCAAAAATGTCATAACGCTTGATTATCTAAACAAACAGATCAGCCACTTTCCCTACCAAGACTCTGACAGAGTGAATAAACCAAAAACTATTTCAAAGACCTGCTTCTCAAAAGCAACAATAGGTGGGAATGGGCATGAAAATTGGACCTTGCTTCGATTGCTACCATTGATGATTGCAAATATTGTGCCCGAGAATGAGCCCTCATGGGAGATCTTGATGGACCTAAAAGAAATAGTTGAGTTGGTTGTAGCAGCAGACTTCTCTGATGCAGCTTTGACTTTCCTGGAGAGAAAGATTGATGACCACAGAGTGTTACTTAGAGAGACCTTTCCAACCACGAGATTGAGACCAAAACATCATTTTGTGGAACATTATCCCCACTTGATGAGATGTTTTGGTTCATTGACTGAGCTGTGGACCATGAGATTTGAGGCCAAACACAGCTTTTTCAAAAGAGTTGTGCATGATGTCCACAACTTCAAAAATATTTTGGTCACTCTGGGAACCCAACATCAGTTATTGATGGCCCACTACCTAAGTGGTCCTACCCTCTTTCCACCATCATTGTCAGTGCAGAAAATCAAAACGGTTAATGTGAATGTTTTGGAAGTGTCACAAATGAATGCTGTTCACAAGAAGTATCCTCAAATTCAGCTTTTGTCTCTTGCCTCCAATGTACATGTTTACGGAACTCTTTACAAGGATGGCATGATCTTGTCTGCTGGGCAATGCAGTGGCCTACCAGACTTTTTCAGAATCATCAGTATTCTTGTTCATTCTTCAGCCAAGGTGTCTTTCTTGTGCAGAAAACTCATGTCATGGTACATTGAACATTCCAGATGCTATGAAGTATTTGAAACAACTGACATTGAAATTCTTGAGGAAGAAGATCTTAATGATATCCATCCTCTTACGTCTTATGTTATTCAGGGAAAAGCTGTTGTCTCCCTGAAGAAGTTCCTCCTCCACCTTTAAGGTAATAATAATATTAATAATAGGGAACAAAAATGTAGTAATTGATTGTTTGAGATGGTGAAATGCTAATTGACTTATATTTGTTTAATGGCTTCCAGAGAAATTCACTTGTGCACACATTACCCACGAAATGTTATATTGTTTGTATTAAAGCAGCGTTACATGACCAGTTGTCGTCTATTGAGCATAACTCTTTACTGGTACTCCTCTCGCAAACCTTCATGAATTTTATTGTGATGTATTATGTTATAATTTACTTTTTTTTCTTCTTTTTTTTGCGTTGCAGATCATGCTGTTTCGTGTCATTGTGTCACCAGACAACATCAGAAGGGTGGATATTTCAGAGAGCCTGTGTTCAGTAGAACATTTAAAGAACATTCTTCAAGAACGCCTTGAACTTGCAGGTGATATTTTGATTCAGTTTGAGGATCCTGATTTTGGGAATGAACTGTGCAATTTAACAGACATTAAAGAACTTCCTAAAGACAAAGCAGTACTGAAGATTCTGTATCAAGGAGCAATCCAACAAAGAGATGAATCTGCATCCTCAATTTCTTCCACGCCATCTTTAAATGACTTGCTTCCATCAACCAGCACAAGTCGGAGTTCAACCCTACATCTTACACAGCGAGACAGTGCAGGCAAATGGCCATCTCCCTTCCCTGTCCCAGAGTTTTCCTATGATGTAGAACTGAGGCTTGCAAAGGGGAATGAGTTGTTCAGTGAAAACAAAGAATTTCTGACCATACCAAGAGAAATGAAAATGGACATCCTGGACAAATTAGCTCAGACTATATTTTCCTACAAGGCATACCCAAATAATCAGGAAATGGAAGCAGTTGCTGCTGCACTGATTGAGAAGTATCCATGCCTCAAAGACCCAGGTTTGGGAACAGGATATCAAGGATGGCTCATGAGTATCAAATATAAGCTTGGCAACTATCGTCAAAAGTTGCGGATGGCAGGCTGCAGTGAGGTCTGTATAAACAAGAAGGATGCAGGCAATTCCAAAAAGCGCATTAAGAAAGCAAAAAAATGTGAGGTGAACTTTCTCCCTGACAGTCCACCTGGCATTAGTACTGACTCTCTGGAAAGGGACAGAAAGACTTTGGATGAGGAGACCAAAAAAAGAATGCCTAACAAGGCTTTAATCGACTCTGGAATGGAAAATACTTTTGCCATGAGGAGGAAGGAAATAGTGGGAAAACAACCCTTCGTCTCTGATGTGATGAATCGATGGCCTGCGCTGTTCTTTGAAGAACAGGTTTGCATTTTCCAATGTGTTGTATTTGATATTTTGAAGGAGCACTATGTAAGAATTCTACTGTCAAATAATCACAAAACAGTCTAGTGCCTTAATCATGGTGGAAACAGATTTCCTTTAAAGCCAGCTGGAAGGTTGTCAGACCTTTGTCTTTCAAAACAAAAAGGGAGATGTAGTAAATATTTAGAAGTTTGTAATGTTGCTGTGCCTCTGGCGAGCTAATGCTGCAGAACAGACATTTGTAATTTGGTACAGTCAAAAGCTACAAAGTTTGTTTTTTTTTTAAACAAAAGCAAGGAGTGACCCAGAAGCAGGCTAGAGGCTAACGTTGAGGTAACAATGCTAATAGTGTATAATAAGCAACTGTTACGCTCTAAAAATATTTCAAGCTACTTTTTAAATGACAGACAACTGGATATAACAGTGAAATGTGTGTGAAATTAATCAGTTAATCAGTCAAAGTTTATTAGTGCACCGAGTCCAGCGTAAAAACAAAAATAATTCAATTATGGCATTTTACTTCCTTTAATGAGTCGTTCATTAAAGCCAGCTAACAGCAAGAAGAAGGAAAAACAACACTTACTTTAATGCTGGATAAATATTACAGTAAATGCTCGACACCGTAAAACACCCAAGCGTGGTAACACCTGATATAAAAATGTACGTCTATTATTTAAAATCTGGTGCTGATTTGTAACAGCCATGAAATTCAGAACAACTATGAGATAGTTAAAAATTTGCTTAGAAAAAAGTCCTGCAGTAACCACATTTTACCACTAGACGTTTGTCTTATGTTATTCTTACATAATGCACCTTTAATTATGTTTTCTGTTTAAGTGCAAAAATTGTGGTACATTTAGCATATTTTATGTGATAATGTTTTAATGAGCACTATTACCTCAAAGATATGTGCTGAGTTTTTTCGAGTTACCCGGGTGGAGCTGATGAAGACCTTCTTATCATCTCTGGATGAACACTCTGCACAACTCATAAAGCTGTACAGATCGCGCTCTGGAAAACTTGAGAAGGAGCTCAAGAACCTTCTAGATATATTTGATGAGAAGGTAAAGATGTGTATGAACTGTTATTTCTGATAAACATACTGTGGGAGACCAGCTCTAACATGAGATTTTTGTAATTACTAATTTAATTTTCTCATGTAACTGTCTTTCAGACGACCGATGTGCTTGAATACAGAAAGTCTACAGCTCTTCGAGGTCTGCCTCTATATTTGAAGGAACAGTCTGATGGGTTTCTAAAAACGTGTCTGGTAAGGTATAGTGCTATTGCTGTTTAGATATCCTTAAGAAAAGCCTAAGTCACTTTCTTGTCTCTATGTTCATGATCATTTACATTAGGAGATTCTCACTGAAGGCATCAAAACTATAAATGAACACATGTGGAGTTATTTACTTAACCAAAAAAGTGCAAAAACTAAAAAAACATGTTTTATAATTTATTTTCTTTAAAATTGCCATCCTTTGCTCTGATTACTGCTTGGCAAACTCTTGATGAGCTTCAAGAGGTAGTCCTTCAACACAGTTGGAAAACCATTTCAGCAATGGGTTGTCTTTTCAGGTTTCTTTGTTTTCCTCCACAGCACCTAGATTACCACATAGTGCACAAGTAAAATGTGTTCACACTGCAGTGCGCACATTTAACGAAGCTTCGAATAAGTAAATAAATAATCAAGGAATTTAACGAAAGGAATCATTTGAAGATTCGTTTCAGCCCTATTCTTGGCATCAAGATGTGTCTTTAAAATTCACTGACATCATATGTGAAATCCATGGCACAAAACAAGCGGAATTAGAAAAAAGCATTTTTAGTCCCGTTGACTTGCATTCATTTTTTCATTCTTCTGGTGAGCCATGATGTGTAAATGACTTAAGCCTAATTTATACTTTTTCGTCTGCGTCGGGACAGATGCATGCAATGCCATTATCCGTCCTTTTGAGGGCTCTCCAGCTCACAAGGACAAAGTTGAGCTTTCTTTTTCTAAACATCCGTCTGACAAGACAGAACACAAGCTTGTGATTGGTCAGGACACCACTGTCGTCATTAGCGCCGCCATTATCCCCTCAAAAACAAAAAGAGAGCCTAACATATCTAGCTTGAAAAATACCTCATGGTAAAACTCTGAAAATATGAATGTTTTATACACCTGTGACTGGAGGAGTGAAAATATGTGCAGCAAACGTTTGTGAACGGAAACAATGGGAAATGTGAGTATAGAGGTGGAGGAGAATAAGACCCAAATTTGTCTGTGTTAAAAAGTCTTAGAAATACAAAAAACACAATAGTAACTGCTCTACTTTGGACCGGATACATCACAGGATACCACAGAACAGTGCTAAGCCCTCTGTTGACTTGGCGAGGAATAGCTTTGCAACATTCCCTAGGAGAGGGAGAAGTTTAGGGGCAAAATATCTCTGTCCGTGCGTGCGTGTCTCTTCCTCGTGGAGCTGAGTATAAACCAGGCGTTCGGCTCTCAATGGCTTGTCTATATTGCACACACACACACCACCCATTGTTTGGTTGTTTTCTGAACACATCATAATAAAGATTTGCTTTTACCTTTTTTGCTGACAAATTTTAGCTAACACTATAGCCTTCCTCTGACTGGTGTCACTTCCTTAATTTTTCTGTGGGCAGCGGAGGACGATGTTGCCCTCTGCTGCCCACACCTTCCTTGCTAATGCCAATTGGGGCTTGCATATTAGCATGGGCTCCATTCCTCTCTATACCCAGCCTGGCCGAGTTGATTACACACACATCCTTAGGAAGGCGTACATTACTGAGCTTATAGATGGTCTCCGAAATTTGTGCGGAAATATCAGCAATCCATTAGCCTGGCCTGCCATACGTCCTCTGTTTAATTCTGCACAGAAAAAGAGTCTGGTAACTCACAGGCAGAGAGGCACATGAGGGGCAGGACTAGGCAGCTCAAAAATAACCAATCAGAAAAAAGACATAAATGCCAACTGTACTGCGCGACGCTGTAATTTTTTATCTGTAGTAAAAAAAAAATTAAAGGCATCTGACAACGGCGTAAACATCTTTAAAAAAATTTTTTTTATTTGTTTTTTTAGAAGAAATGCTTTCAGCGCTTCTACTTGTGGTTTTAAAGACATTCAAGCCATTTAGAACAGAGGAAAGAGCTGCCGGTATGAGAAACTGCGCGTCGCTATGTGTGATGTAGGGATGGGTACAGAATTCAGTACTTTTTAAGGCACCAACCGAATTCCACAGTACCGACCGAGCACTGATTCACTTCATTTGAAACGGTGCCTCGTTTCGGTACCCGTCCTTCACAACGAGAACTTGCCTAGACAGCTGCGCATGCGCAAGAGCCTTATGTCGTCGGTCGCTGCGAGCGAGTTGTAAACAGAGCAGCATGGTAGAAAGAACACACGCTAAAGCTTGGGTCCACTTCACTAAATGTGATGGGTAACTGGGTGATGATGAAACCAGCGACAACGATCTAAGTGAGACATCCTTATCTTAATCTGCTCCGGTAGGTAACGTTAGCTTGATATGTTAGCTTCTGTTTCGCTAATGGTGCGTTCGCTTTCTCCTTGGAACTCCGAATTTCCGACTAGAAGAACATGAACGCGCTCTAAAGTTTGGCTTCACTTTACTAAATGCGACGGGTGATTGGGTGAAGATGAAACCAGTGACAACGATAAGTGTGAAGCATCATCATTTTAAACTGCTCCAGCAGCTAAATAAACTGTTTAAGATAACGTTAGCTTGATAAGTTAGCTTCCTATGCCACCATTGTTATCATCTAATGGTGCGTTCACTTTCTCCTTGAAAATGTGAAGATGTTTGTTTCTGTTTAATTATCAGCTTATAAAACCACAAGGACGATGTTAAAATACAAACAGTTGTATGTTATTTATCGTGATATATATCAAATATGGTTATATAATGAGAAATATATATATTTAATTATAAAAGAGAATTAAAATATTAAACACTCAAAAGTACCGAAATTACCGTTAAGTACCGGTATCGATTCGTAGGTACCGGGAATTAGTACCAAATCGGTTCAAATTTCAAAGGTACCCATCCCTAGTGTGATGTCCATGACGCTGTACTTTTTTAGCTGTAGTCAGAAATGGTGATGGCGCAAACATCTTTCTTTAGAAGAAAGGCTTTTAGCGCTTCTACTTGTTGTTTTAAAGATGGGTCTTTAGACGGGGGGGGGGGGGGGGGGGGGGCAAAAGAGGGTGAATTTGTCCTTCGCTGACAACCCAAAGCCAAACAAAAAAGTTATGAATCTTTCCAAATCTGCCTCTTTTATATACTACGTGCAGAATTTCATAACAGAAATCTGCCTGATTTATTTTGTGGAATGTTTAGTTTTTTATTTTTAGGTATTTTTATCCAAAAATAATGGTTGATGTTCCTTTATTTTAAAATTAAAATAAATTAATGTCTTTTTTTTTTCTCTATTTCTTTGTTTTTCTGTAGGATACTGACCCAGTGGATGTGGCTGTCCAAGGCATGGAACTTGGTATTCTCACGGTTGTCGAAGATGATGTTGGAACAGTTAACTCATTTCCAACAACAAGAAGCATCGCCCTGATTATTGAGGAGCAGATTGTCCTTGATGACATCAGCAGTTTCCCAACTGCATTTGCACTTCTCTTTGGCCTCATATATGCTCTTAACCTGGACTATCCAAAGAACTTGAGGTACACTTTTGAGGTCATTCAAAAGGTTTTCCTCAATCTGGGAACCGACTGCTCAGCCAGAGTCCAGGCCCTAAAGAATAGTTTGCTGAAATAAAGATGGTGTTTTCTCCTACTCTGGTGAGTGCTGAGAAGGTAAGAGACGGCAAGTTGTTCTTCAATGTTAAATGTTGCTAAATCATTGTTTAGAATGTTTTCATATACAAATTTAATGAATGTTGAAATGGCTTGTTCAGGGGTGGTTATTTGTACATAATAAGTGTTCTCTCCACGAGTTTCTTAATCTCCACCAGCCATACAGATTCTAAAGACTGGCAGGTGCCAAGCACTTTTTTTTAAAATATTTTTATTTTTTATTTTTTTGTGTAAGTGAAAATGTAAAGACAA